CTAGCAGAATTTCAAATGCTGGGTAATCGTAATGAGGCCTGGTAGAGACAGGGCAGATATTGGGACGGAGCTGGCAGGGTATGTGACCCGTCTGCCTGTCTACATCAGTTTGCTTTGGGACCACATGGGTGGAGCCGAGTTATGTCAACCTCCTACTGAAGAGGCTTCGACAGCATATTGCTCTTATATATGAAAATGTTCACTCCTGTACTCCCAGCTGTAAAAAGAAAAGCAGTCATTTCTGAGGATTAAATGGTACCGTGGGCCAGGTGCGGTGGCTCACGCCTGTAATCCCAGCACTTTGGGAGGCACAGGAGGGTGGATCACCTGAGGTCAGAAGTTCGAGACCAGCCTGACCAACATGGTGAAACCCTATCTCTACTAAAAATATAAAAATTAGCCAGGCGTGTTGGCAGGCACATGTAATCCCAGCTAAAAAAAAAAAAAAAAGCCACCATGTAGACATGTAGCATTGTGCCTACACACAGTGTTGATTATGTGCTTTCCCCCTTTTCTTGGTTCTTCTCCCGTGCTTCTGAATAATAGATCTTTTTTACCTATGTTTTTTATATTATATACACATACACACAGACATATATACATATAAAGATAGAATCAGGGTCTCACTATATTGCCCAGGCTAGTCGAACTCCTGGGCTCAAGCTATCCTGCCTCAGCCTTCCGAAGTGCTGGGATTACAGGCGTGAGCCACCACACCCAGCCTTTTCTGTCTTTTCTACTTGTCGTCACCTCATGTCCTTTCTTACTTAAAGCCTTCCTTGGAAATCGCTTGAAATCAGAAGTTCAAGACCAGCCTGGCTAACATGGTGAAACGCCATCTCTACTAAAAATGTAAAAATTAGCCAGGTGTTGTGGCACCCACCTGTAGTTGCAGCTACTGGGGAGGCTGAGGCAGGAGAATCAATCACTCGAACCCGGGAAGCAGTCACTGAAGTGAGCCGAGATCATGCCATTGCACTCCAGTCTGGGTGATGAGCGAAATTCCATCTCAAAGTAAAATAAAAAAATAAAAGCCTCCTCAACCCTCTTTTAGTTCTCACAAATTGAAACACTTCTGTCTCTCCCTCATTCAACACTTCATTTTGCTCATTTACTCAACTGCCTCAAGGTTAGAAAGTACCTAGCCTGAGCCACATTAGGTACTCAAATATTCAAATCAATAAAAAAGCCTTTAGTTGCATACCCCTCATGGGATACAAGGGAACTCAGCCTAACTGCACAGTCAGGTGGGGCCAGTGCTGGCTGCTGGCTCACTGGCTTTCCGTCTCGAGCATCCCGCAAGATGCAGGCCACCCGATCCTACTGCACGCCAGGCTCTAAACACACTCTGAATACACCTGATAAAGGTAAGTCTTAGAGACAAAGCAGCGGGCATTCATTGTAGCACTGGCCAGCTGTGTTTGGTGTCACAGAGGATGTGAACCTCTCACCTTGGGAACCAAGACAAGCAGCAGAATGTGATGGTTCCAAACCCATTAGCTGGAGCCATGGTTTCATCACCTAACGGAGACCAGGGGGGAGCAGTTTAACCTTAGCATCCACTCCAGCATAACTGAACCTACCTCACAGGGTGGCAGGATGACACGACTTCATCTTTATAAAGTGCCCATGAAAACACTTTTGCAAACATCATAAACAGAAAATTATGACAGTGACATATCAGACCCAACTGACCCTCTCATGCTTCTAACCTCTAAACTGTCCTTGTTCAGTCCTGGGCATAGGGCAAACTAGCTTTGAGAAGGATTTTCACGTACCTAGTTTGTTTAAACAGCCCTTCCCAAAACGCTAAACGCTTCTTGTAAAACAAGTGAAAGGCCACCAGCTACTAAGTCAGGAGAGGATCTAGAATTCTTACCAGCCATTATTCTGGAGGTGATAAGATTTACAACTTCCCCAATTATTCTTGTGGACCTAAGACCTGCCTTTTGAGATTGTCTTTTTAGGTTTTTCATTTTTAAAAACCAGATGGCCCCACCTGGACCTGCCAACCAGTTCTGTGCCCCCGACCCAGGAACTGACTCAGCAGCAGAGAACAGCTTCGAATCCCCACGATTTTACCCACCAAATCATCCTTAAAAACTCTGGGGCCGGGCGCGGTGGCTCACGCTTGTAATCCCAGCACTTTGGGAGGCCGAGGTGGGTGGATCACGAGGTCAAGAGATTGAGACCATCCTGGTCAACATGGTGAAACCCCGTCTCTACTAAAAATACAAAACATTAGCTGGGCATGGTGGTGCGTGCCTGTAATCCCAGCTACTCAGGAGGCTGAGGCAGGAGAATTGCTTGAACCCAGGAGGCGGAGGTTGCGGTGAGCCGAGATCGCGCCATTGCACTCCAGCCTGGGTAACAAGAGCGAAACTCCGTCTCCAAAAAAAAAAAAAAAAAAAAAAAAACCAACTCTGATCCCCGAGAGACTGATTTGAGTAGTAATAAAACTCCGGTTGTCACCCGCATAGCCAGCTCTGCATGAACTGTCTTGATGAATTGGCTCTGTCTAGGTGGTGGGTGAACCCATTGGGTGGTTACACTCAGGACACAGAGCCTTATATCTGTAAAAACAAAGCTTTTCCTCTACTCCAGATGTGGGGATTTTCCACATCAAGCAGTTCAGTTATCTGTAGACACTAACTGGGGGTCTTAGATTTCAATTCTGACATTACTTGGAGTTAGTGCAGACCCTACAGGTTAAGGGCTCAGTCCACAAGACTCCCCCACTTCAGATACCAATGGCAAGTAGTGGGTCTCCAGGTCACCCACACTTCTGACTTGGCTACAGATTGGTCTACAACCCCTTAAGTTTGGTAACTTGCACAGAACTCAGGGAAACAATTCATGACCAGCCCATCATAAAGGAAACAGCTTAGGATATGGTCAGGGTGGGGCGGCACAGAGCTCCCATCCCTCAAGGGAGTGCCACCCTCCCAGCATCTCCGTTTGTTCACGACCCAGAAGCTTTCTGAAACCCATCATTTAGGGCTTTTACAGCGGCTTCCTTACAGATCCAGGATTGATTAAATAATTGGCTGTTGTCAATCTCCAGCTTCTCCTTTCCCCAGAGGCCGGGGGTGGGGCTGAAGTTCCAACTCTCTAATCACATGGTTGCCTCTGGCAACCACCCCCCATTCTCCAAAAGTCACTTCATTAGCACAAACTCAGGTGAGGCTGACAGAACAGTGACTAACAAAAGATGTTCCTCTCACCCTTATCCCTCAGGAAATTCTAAGGGGTTTAGAAGCTCTGTGTCAGGAACAGGGAAAACCAAACACACATTTCTTACTATCTCACAATATCACAAGTTGTTTAATAAAATATAAATTTAGTAAAACTGCTGCTTAATTTCATGCTCAGAGTCACAAAAGTAGTCAGTGGAGGGGGTGGAGATTCCACCCCAGGCAGTCTGACTCCAGCTGCTGTGGGTTAGTGACTTCCACAGCAAATGCAGGAACCTGTCACAAGTCCACATGCTCTTCAACTTATGACAGGGTTATGTACCGACAAACTCATGATCATAAGTTGAAAATATAAGTCAAAAATGCATTTAATACACATAACCTACAAACATAACTTAACCTAGGCTGCCTTAAACATGCTCAGAACGCTTTTCATTAGCCCACATGTGAGCAAATCATCTAACACAAAGCCTATTGTATAATAAAGTGTTGACTATTTTTTTTTTTTTTTTTCTGAGACAGTCTCGCTCTGTCACCCAGACTGGAGTTCAGTGGCATGATCTCGGCTCACTGCAACCTCTGTCTCCCCCAAGCGATTCTTCTACCTCAGCCTCCTGAGTAGCTGGGATTTACAGGCACACACCACCACACCTAGCTAATTTTTGTATTTTCAGTAGAGATGAGGTTTCACGATCTTGACTAGGCTGGTCTCGAACTCCTGACCTTGTGATCCACCCACCTCAGCCTCCTTACAGGCATGAGCCACAGCACCCAGCCTATCTTATGTAATTTATTGAATACTGTAATGAAAGTGAGAAACAGAATGTATGAGTGAAGTATGAACATGTATCACACTTTCCTACCATCATAAAGTCAAAAAAATTTAAGTTGGCTGGATGTAATGGCTCACGCTTGGCCAGTGATCAGCCTGGCCAACGTGGTGAATCCCGTCTCTACTAAAAATACAAAAAATTAGCTGGGCATCGTGGCAGTCGCCTGTAGTCCCAGCTACTGGGGAGGCTGAGGCAATCAGTTCAAGGAGAATCGCTTGAACCCAAGAGGCAGAGGTAGCAGTGAGCTGAGATCGTGCCACTGCACTCTAGCCTGGGTGACAGAGCGAGACTCCGTCTCAAAAGGAAAAACAAAACAAAATTAAGTCAAATAACAGTGAGAGATTCCTCCTGGAAGATTCTAAAAAGACTTTCTAGACAAAACCAAAAATGAGTGGGAGAAAAGGACAGAAGGAATGTGAGGAGGTGTGTAAGCTGCTGTAAAGCCATTTGAATTGGGCCTCATGTATGCACAACTACCCATATACTGCGTATATGCTACCCAGACCTGGTTAAAGTTACTTCTAAAAGCAGTGACTCATTCACAAAACCCTGAAGACCACATCAAACAGTAATAGAATGTTACCCTGTGAGGTTCCACACTTACTCTATAAATGCTACATTGACTCAAAACACTTTTAAAACTTACTTGCAGTTGTCCTCAGAATGGATTTTGAGAGAATGAGATTGCGCTTGACAGTCAGTTCCTGTTGGAGACGCATATATAAACGCATTACCCACCTTACACACGGCAGCCTGGGCTCCAGGTGATGTCCTTTGTTCACTTCCAAAAATGTAATCCATCGAAGGATGAGTACTCACCCCACAGAGGACATTCTAAAGAATAGGCCACAGGAATGCTTGCTAAAATCAGCTCCTTTACCTTACAGATGTCTGTTTTACACAGAGAGAAAGAAATGCTGCTTAGATTCCCTGTCAGCTAAAATCATGGGAAACATTCCAATCTCCAGCCTACTTTGCCAATAAAATATTGCAACCTTTATTTAAAACAAAACACAACTTGGCAAACCTTGTGAGAAGACAGGCAGAGAGCAGTCCCTTTCAAGGGCCTCATTTATTTACATCAAGTTTAACACTGTTAGCAGTTCACAGTCAGACAACAGAGTGAGAGAATTAAATTAGAAAAACAAACAACCAAAATATATTACATTAACAAGAACAAATACCTGACAACACTGGTAGTGTGACCCACGACTGATGTGTTTTTAGTTAAATCCCACATTGTCTCACTATGTCCCCTTAGCAATGCACACAGTGCCTGATGCTCCAAACCTCACCCTCCGTGTGCCACACACACACCTGCAGGGCGGGACCTTTGGCATAAATGTTACATGAGTTTTAAATTATCTGAATCCGCATGTTTTAGGACAAAGTTCTGTCAACACCATGAAATGTTTAAACTTATTTTTACTAAGAGAGCATAAAACTGGCGTTTGTCCACTGACAGTCATTAGAGAATCAGACAGCAGGGAGGGAAAAGTGCAGGGTCTGGGAGGAGATGGGGGTTCCTAGCATGCGGCAACAAACAGCTAAGTCAGACACACCAACTCACAGTCAACACGCCAACCACGCCACTGCTGTTCAGCCAAGGGAAGATCTGAGCGATTCCTTTTACTTATTTCCCCTCTCTTAATGGGCATGACAGCAGAGCAGGCGTGCTTATGGACACAAACATACACCAGCTGCACATATCTGAGATGCGAGGGTTTTCAAACACATACCCTAAAGAATCGTAAGAAGAGTATGTCATTGTTCCTTTCTAGTTTCTGAATACTGACAACCGGCCTAATCAAGGTGATTTCCCAAGATCTCAAGAAGTTCCTCTCATTACCTAATGGAGTACAGGTGGCGACAGTGAAAAATCGCGTCAAATGGAGGAGAGCTGGTTTGTCTGACTCTCATCTACCAGAAGCATCTCTATCTTCTAGCCTTCTTGCCACTCACAATACCTGAGGTTTACTGCTGATGACCCTAAAGCATTCCTACTGCCGCAATACCTTCTGAAACAATACATTTGCATATTCTTTTTGTGTTGTAATTGCTGAAAATTAAGTATATATAACGCGGGAAAACTTAAGTCCCATTCTCCAACTAAAGTTTATGGTACCTAATGACAAGATTTAAACCTCCTGCTCTGAGATTCGGAAGCAAATCTAAGCAAGTTCCAACTATACCAATTCCCTGTATTTCCTTTCATAAAGCCTGCTAACATTGGACAGTTTGGCTCCAGCGTGTCCTAAAGGGCTTGTGAGCATGCTCGGAGCCCCCAGGTTCTGAGGGTTCAGCTCAGTAACCTGGAGTGACAGGTAGGAAGTCTGCTCATGTGAGTACAAAGATGAACAAAGAATCTCCCAGAACCGATACAGATGACATGTATCACAATTCTACGCCAGACATGGTGTGGTCTGAGGAGAGTGCTCAGCCTGGCTTTTCCACTTCAACACACCAGCTGCTCCCTCTGAGTGAACACGACTTTGCTACTGTGCTCTGGCTAAAAGGTCAGATTTTTCTAGGAGAGGTAAACAATTTCAAAGCTATAGATGTACATGAGGACAAAGAAGTAAGTGCACTTGGAGGGAAGGGCTCAGCGAGACCCCGCCAGGGGGGCTTGAGAAACGCAGCAATGGCCAAGTGAGCACTCTCAGAAAACCATTTCAAGTGGGGGATTCTCAAAGATGGGGGCTCTGGGCCACTGCCACCCAAGAAGCTCATGTCTACCAGTTCTAGTTCAATAATCATGCAAAATCAACCCAGCTAAGTCCTTGCCTCTGTGAGACTCATGTCAAGGGTGGCCTCTTAGCAGTTTCTGCCATTCCAAGTCAGCTTCGAATCACGACCTGCCACAGGCCTCCTTACCTGGGAAGAAGTATGGGATCTCCTTATCCTGATCCCACAGGGCGAAGCCTTCCCTCATTTCCTGTCCTTTGGATCTAGAATATTGAGTCAGAAATGAAGGTATCATCTTGGTTTTGTTTTTTTTTGACGAGTCTCACTCTGCCACCTAGACTGGAGTCCAGTGGCGTGATCTCAGCTTCACTGCAACCTCCGCCTCCTGGATTCAAGCAATTCTTCTGCCGCAGCCTTGGGAATAGCTAGGATTACAAGCAGACACCACAACTCCGGTACAATTTTTATAATTTTAGTAGAGACGGGGTTTCACTGACCTCAAGTGATCTGCCCGTCTTGGTCTCCCCAAAGTGCTAGGATTACAGGCATGAGCCATGATGCCCAGCCAAAAGGTATCATCTTGTACATACTCAACATATAATACATACCTCCGAGAGGTGGCATGAAAAGCAGACGCTCATCCTTCTGGAGATTGCAGTAAACGTCCCAAAAGACAGGCTGGAGCTAAGAGTGATGGGGGCGAGTGCTCCAGAGAAGGACGCAGCTCATCCCACAGCCCTGAATCCCACCCATGCTTCCCAGTAATGAAGGAGCATAGGGAACGGCAGTGAAGGTCAAGTGAACTACAGTTGTGCTGAACAGAGCAAGTAACAGTATCACTACTGGCTTGCTGGGGGGAAAAAAAAAGCAAGCCTTGCATTAGATTTAAGTCTAATAGTTGGAAAACCCGAACTCCATCCAAATGATATAGATTAGTCTAGACTGTTAAGAGTGGGAGAGGTTTCAGAAGTTGTCACATACTCCTACGGATCCCACACGGAAGCAGGCATTTACAAAGGAAGTGAGCTACTACTGGCTTGATGTGGGCTAAGAGATACAAACCTCTGAAGCCTATCAATCCTTAAATCAAGAGACTCACCTACAAAAAGAGGATTGGTCACAGCAGATGCTTAGGGCACAGAGATGAATCCCAAGTCCAGGTGGAACAATTTAAATGCAAGATGATGAAACTCAAAGGTCAAGAACAAAAATACAGATAACCCCATCAACCCAGTATGAACTCCTGGGAGAGGCACAGCCTGATACTAACAATGACATCAGTAGCAAAGGGGAAGGGAACAGGAGAGGTCAGAATGAAATGTAGCCGTTAGTCAGAAGTGGCCACCAATGCAATTTATTCTCAAGTATTTTATACTCTAATAGGTGAATTAAATTCAGCTACTCTTCTTAGAAAATGAAAAAGGGAGATGGCAAATGTCGATGTCATTTATAACTAACTGGTAGGAAATCCTAGAAAAGTTAATTCCCAAAGTGCACTGGTTTTATGGCCATCCACCTCCTGCTGTAACTTAACGAAACTATGCAGGACATAGGTTAAAAAAGACACTGTCAACATCAACAGACAACAAGTCCGCTCCCACCACACTCAGGATGAACGGCCAAGCATACAGTGGACAAATGGACAAATGCTGAAGAGTCAGAGGGCCTCATCTTTCTTGAGTCAAGGTCCCTGGAAGAGCTTCTGTATTCTAGAGTGAGTACACATTCTTAGTTTTTAAAGATTGCAATTAAACCAAAAAATTGGTCCCGAGTTTCAGCTCTGAACTACACCTTTAGCAAAACACTTGCTACACCTGCTCATAGTGGTTAAGCAGTTTCATATTTCTAAATGTGATAAACGACAGAGGTGATTCTTGTATGCCTGCATTTCCAGGTCCCCCACAGGGTCCATCCACATTGAACCAACTGTCTTATCTTTTAAACAGACAATACCACAACCTTATAATTATATTACAGTTGATATTTTCTCAAAGTGCTCTCATATACATTATCTCACAGTCATTAAAATAATGTGAACAATAAAGTTTTTTTTTTGTTTGTTTTGTTTTTTTTTTAAGAAAAAGGAATGTAGGACTAACTAGGTTTTTTAAAAACTCAGGTTGGTATTTCTTTACTACAAAGTGCACACTGCTGTGTTGCTGAGGTCTGTCTAAAAGAATGACCCCATATAATTTTCTAAATGACTGAGTTCTACCGAATGCTTGCTTTGCTCGTGTTCCCATTACTTCCCATTCAAGGTCAGAGTGTCAGGAGCATGTGCTTTAGAAAGTGTGCAGCACCACACTGGCTGATTGTCTGTCTGAGCCACTTTTTGGCAGTGTCTCACATGGCAGCAGGTATGGTGGAAAGACCCCACGAACATCACGTCAGGAGACCTGAATTCTAGCCTTGGCTCTGCCACTAATTAACTGTTCTGAGACAATGGGCAAGTAACTTAGCCATCTTCTGCTAGTTTCTTAATCTATAAAGAAAAGGGTTGGGGTACTGATCGTTTTCAGATAGCACTAGGTGTTTGAAACACCTGGAGAAATTACTGGTGAATACACTGGCCGAGACCCCAGCCCACTGGGAATTCTGATCTGGAGTGGGGCTTAACCATCAGTTTGTGTTTTTTTTTTTAACCTTAGGGGATTCTGCTGTGCATCCCTAGACTAGGTGTTATAGTAGTTTAACATTACAGAGTGTGCTCATTGTGTGCCAGGCACTGGAGCTAAGTATCTTACAAACATCATCTCATTTAATCCTTACAACCCTGAGGTAGTTACTATTATTATCCCTGTTTTACAATGAGGAAACTGAGGCTCCCAAGGTTACATGACTTGCCTTTTAGACCGGCATTAGAGCCTAAACACGAAACCACTATCTACACTGCATCCTTTAAACTCAAACTCTCCATGACTTTAAATAAAAATGGGCAGTGCCTTAGCAAAGTCAGCATGCTTTATTACCTGGGGACGATTTTACTAGCCAACTTTCAGTTGAATCCTAAGAAGCTTTCTAATTTAAATTCTGCAATGCTGCTGGTAAAGGGTCTCCACTATAGTGACCTCTAGGTACAGCGGTCATCTAGAAAACACTGAATAAATTTCTTGCGGCCGAATTTTTTAAGGCTAATCTCTGAAAATCATGATGGAAGTCTATAGGAAAAAATATACACTTAAATTTTACACAAAGCCTTTTAAGGAAATACTTTATGTGAAGCACAACCAAGATGTACTCAACACAAATCACTGCATTTTAAAGTAGGAAATCTAAACTGAAATCACATGATCTGTACATGAAAGGGATCACGCAGTTGCAGCAAAGGCATGCATCCAGACACACAGCATAACAATCACTTTAGAAAACTGTCAACGCCTTGTACGAGGCCTTTCCTCTTTGCTTTTAGGGTACTTAAACTATACTTTCAGTTTCTAGAAGCAGTTTTCTCTGCTTTGGACTCAAACCTTTTAATTTACATAAGGGTTTGTGTTTAAGCTGGTCCTTTTCAAGTAGAAAAAGGGAAAACATAAATGCTTGTATAATAAGTTGACAGTGCCTCTTCAACCTGAACCTTGAGCCCTCAACCCCTGAAGTTACATAGTTCAAGCATCATGTGGACGGGATGTGCTCCAAAAGTCAATGCCACCCTTGACAGTGTGGAGAAAAATCAATTCCTTTTATACATTGTGCACCCACTGCAGGCAAGACAGAGCTAGGTGCTGCCCCTGAGTAAGACACAGCCCCACCCCCTACCCTTAAGATTGTTGTTGGGAGAGAAAACCAGGGAGCCTAAATATACTCAGTAGTGTTTCTCCAAGGCTTATTTCCAGAACTCTCAAGGGAAAAACAGAGCCCCTGCTTAAAAAACAAACAAATAAAAATCCCCTGAAAAACAATTATAATCCCTTACCTGCATCCCACGACAGGGATAAACCTAAAAAGCAGCATAATAATATTCTAAAGTTTTAGCTTTCCCATCCTTGACCTTAAAAGGCTAACTGCTAAAACGAGTTCTTCAAGTTTATGGACAAGCATGATGAGCAAGAGTGGCAGGAAGGAAGGTGGGAGAAGGACTGCTGGTTTTTCACATCTGAGTTCTCTTCCAACCACCACGAGGAGATGAACCCGATCACTAGCTGCCTGGGCTGCAGCTGCAGGTGACACGCTGGCGGGATCACCCAGCACCTGCCAGGAATGCCCAGCACTGCTCATCTCCTCTAATCCTCCTGTTAACCTGGGCCTCCTTTGGAGCAGCAATGGTGAAAATCAAGGTTTCCTTTCTTTCTAATGAAAACTCAGTTTTGTTCTTGGTCAAAGATGCCAAACTCTATTCAAAACAGTTTCCCCCTTAGTATTCTTAGCGCAATTAATATACTCTCGGCAATTCTTAATTTCATGAATATTTTCTACTCAGCAAATAAGAGGATGAAAAACCATTCAGCGTAACAACACTGCACTAAAAGAGCTTTCCAGAGAGGCTCTCAAAGGGATAGCCGTACACTTATTTGCAACACTCTTGAGAACATGTACTATTACCTTAATTAACAGATTAAGAGATGGGGCTGTGGTTTGACAGTGTACCAATGACAGAGCCAGGAAGAAAACTGCTCAATGTTGAATTCCTATCTTCCTAAGCTACTATTCCTTTGAGAGAATAAAATAAAAATACAGGTGTACTGGGCTCTCCTTGGGGAGGAAGGGGAAGTATTCATAAAGCTTTAAAAAGAGAACGAAGCAGTAATTGAAATTAGACTCAATACCAAGAACATTAATAATACCTAACTCATTAGATTCACTTCCATGCCATCTTAATTAGCTTCCACAACTATAACTAAGTAGGGAAGGAAAAGGCCTATTTTTCAAGGGCAAAGCATATTTAAGGATTAAGTCATTAGGTTTCCAGGGTCTAACTGGTGCTCCCTGAAAAGGACTACTCCTTCAGTTATGCATTCTTAAAACAGAAGTGAAATGACAAAATAAATAAAGAATATTCCAAATAAGATCTGTACAAATAAGCACAATGACTGGGTGCGGAGTAGGGAGAAATATGTGCAAGGAGAAAAGCATGTGAGAATGATGTGGGGGATCACTCACTTCAAATCCATAGCGAGGGGGATGCGGCTCCCTATTCTCTACCTCGATTGGGCTTACGGTGATAAGTGAGGGGAAAGGTACAGAGAAACAGCCGTTAGGACCAAGCCATTAGAGCCAGCTTTTCCTTTCAGTCACAGGCCACCGGGTTTCAAGAAAAGACCATCTCCCTGCTATTTTAGTTGATGAAGAAAAATACACAGCTGCTCAAGTCCTTGGCCAGTATGTCAGTATGCAGGGGAACTGTATCAGAACAGGATTCGTTCCCTTGTGAGAACCTGCAGGGACTATTACTTTCAAAATCGACATTGGTTAATGCTCAGAATGCTATCAGGAATAAAGGAAGACAGGCTGCCCAGCAAAAGACAAAGAACCACTAGGGAGACCCCCGTACTCATGGTTTACAGACAGCCACCAACAAGCAGGAAGCCAATCCTAGTCCATTATGAAACAATATACCAGACTGGGAGAAATGACTTCTGCTAATCTACACAAGATTTTATAGGAGAAGGTTTTCAATCTCCCTGACCCAACTTTCCAGCATTCTTTATTTCCTGCACCAACCAATACACCAGCAGAAAACAGGACAGAGGCATTCAGAGAGAGCCCCATTTCCCAGCTTTGTGTTGTAGCACTCTGATTTGCAGTTCTCATTACAGCAGCAATGACCTTGGGAAAGCAAGGCTAGGGGTGCTTCCAACAGCCTGAAACAAAAATTTCTCTTGGTACATTCCCAGCTTTCCTTTCTTCTGTCTCACCAAATTCATTAGGTAAATTGGAGCATAATCACCATGAGTATCTACCAGAGCCCCAGGTCTGGGCGCAGCTGCTGCGGTGTTGCTGAGAGCAGCCCTGCCTAGCACCTCCCAGCATTCCAGGTAGGGATGGGCTGCATTGCCTTCCCTGTGACATACATATGTTCCCTGATTTTCCAGTGCAGTTTCCAAGCCTGTCTACTACTGCCTTGCCCCCACTTAATTATTTACCTCTCCTATACTTTTGTAGTTAGCTTCTTATTTTTGAGATGAAACTGTAAACGTGAGAACTCAGGGATCTGAGGTACTTCACATAAACACACTCAAGTATGAGTCATTTTTTGAAAACAAGAACACAGGAAAACAAGTCCCTTTCCCTCTCCCCTCAGAAATGTGTGCATTTTCCCACCAGGCTAACAGTGGCTACCTCTGTACCACATCACTGATTTCCTGTACACATGACAATAAGTTATTAAGGACAGGGTTTGCCCCGGGCACACCAGCAGCTGCTGAAGACACCTGCAGCTCCTGTAGGCTGAGTTCCAGTTTGCTCACAGCCTCTCGGAAGGCAAATTTGTTCCGAGTTTGAGGGATGCAGTCCACGTAGCCTGAGCAGTAGTCGAGCAGCTGGTGTCCAGTGTCGACCAGCTGGCTGTTGGGCACGGGTTCCGTGATTGCGCTGGACAGTAGGTCAGCACATTCCAGCAGGGCCTCTTTGCTGATTTTGTCTGCTGAGATTTTCTCAGCGGCTTGTTTGGTTTTTCTCAGGGCCACTTTAGTACCTGCTGTGCCGTTGGCCATTTTGGCGGGCGAGATGGAAGATGTGGGCAGAGGCACTTGAGGTGGAGGCACCACTGGCCTCCCAGCTTTCCCACTGATGGGCACTGCGCCCGGAGCTGCCTTCTTTCCTCCTTCCTGTGTTTCTGATGTGGACTGTCCTGCAGTCGGGGCAGTCGGCTCTTCCGTAGGGTCTGAACATAAGGACGAATGCTGCAGTAGTCTCATCACTGGTGGTGGGGGTGGGGCACACTTTGGTTTTACCCGTCGGGGTCGGTCCTTGTCTCCAGAGGATGTAACCTGATGCTCAGATAACAGCTTGAATTTATTCCCCTGAGAGTCTGTGCCAATGAGCTGCACGTCAGCTGGAGTGTGTTTCAGAGTGGGTGAGATAAGGACTGGCACTTTGTGGTTGTGAGTGGTTGGGAGGACAGTGGCAGCCTTGGCTGGAGAAGACCAGCCGGGCTGCTCTCCATCCTCTGGGACTCCAACCATCCCAAGTCGTGCCCCACCATTCTTCTCTTTGCCCTTGGGGGCAGCTGCCACTCCAGCCACTCCCACCCCTGGAGAGTCCTTCTCTGTAATGGCTAGATCCCCAGAGGGGGTTCTGGGAGGAAGAGCTGTGGCTCCTCTGGGCAGTAACTTGGCTTTTGGTCTCTCCCTGGTTGGAGCAGCACCTTCCTCTGATTTTTTTGGAAGCATGTCATTGGCCCTGTCCACATTCTCTTCTGGCTGAGAAGAGGTGGACACTGTCCTTTCCAGCTGGAGTTTGGACCTCTGGCAGTTCCTGGGAAGGGTCATTGCCATCCTATCCTGCTCTGGAAGCCCTGAGGACATGGAAGATGTAGAGTTTGACCTTGGAAAAGGCTTGGAAGTGTCATCACTGGCTGTGGGTTTACCTGCTCGTAAGCCCAGTGTCTTTTTGATTAAGCGTGGTGTAAAGAAGCCTGTGATGCCAGACCACCCACCCCCAGCAGTGCCACTGCCCCCACCCCCACCACCGTCGTCATTACACAGGTTCCTCTGTGCAAAGCTCCCCCCATAGCACTTGGGTGGCACCAGATTCGCCTCTTGCTGGGCAGGAGTGAACGAGAACCCATCAGCATGCTGTAGAGAAGCAACAGATGAGAAGTTACCCGTGAGTTCGTATTTCTTATGGGGCTGATTCTCCATTTCTCGGAAGGAGCTGCTGCGTTTGGGGGGTGTAGGAGCATTTCTCTTTTTCATGAAGGAGCTGAAGAAGCCGCCCTTCCTATCCCTGGTGAAGCATGTCTCTTTGGCATCTTCCAAGAGGCTACTGGGTGACTTGTCTCTTTGCTTTCGAGGCAGTGCTGGGGATCCACTGGAGGCCTGTGCACCTCTGATGAACCCTGATGAGAAATGGCCGATCAGTAACGTGAAAGACAAGAAGTGAATCTATTACAGTTGAGTTACCGAGGCTGCGTTCTAAGAGTTTTGCCAACATTTATCAAATGTCAGGCATTGGCGGGACTCAGGGGCAAAAAATAAACACATTATCACTTCACAGTGACAGGTGTTCCAAATGTGATGTGGGTTACAAATGGGGGGAGATAACCTGCTGGTTATCACCTCGACATTCATCCTTTCTTTAAAAACCACTGCGCAACCCGTTCCCTTCTATCAGGTTCAGCAACGTTTTTGATGGACCTGTAAAGATGACCTACTTGGAAAACCAAAGTTAAGGAGATGAAACTGGAGGCAGAGTTGTATGATGGATGGATGGACAGATCAGGACAACTAACACTGACAATGCGGAGCCAAGGACTCAGAGGTGGGTCAAAGAGACTCCATGCTTTCCTCAGGGAAGAGGGGCATGAAAGTGGACAGAAAAGCCTCATATCCCATGCTTCTTTCAACAAGGTAGTTTCTATTTTGATTCTAGCTACCTAGGGACCCATACCTGGTGCTAAACTGGAAGCAGAGTTTTCTGTGGCATCATCCTGTGCCCCTTCAATGTTCTCCTTGTTCTCTGCCTGTTTCTTCAGTGTCCGAGTCTTGGAAGGAAGTATAGGTAGCCGGGGCAGGTATGGAACAACAGATGACGAGGAGGCAGCTCTCCCAAGCTCCTCAGCTACTTCTGTGAGGAAGACAAGGGGACAGATAAATAGAATAATTTCATAACAGAGAAAGGGAGTTCTTTTCAGAAAAGGCACACAGCTGAGAAAGAACTGACAAGTAGAGAGTACTAAAATACATACACGGAATCATAAAATATGTACTCTTCTGTCTGTCTTCTTTTGCTCAGTTATCATGTCTGTAGATTTGTCCACGCTGCTGCATGTGGCAGGGGTTCTCACTGCTGTGTAGTATGCCAATGTGTGAATATACCACAATCCACCTGTTCTCCTCTTGATAGATGTTTAGGTTGTTTCTAGTTTGGGGTTACCGTGAATACATTGCTAGCACCATCCTGCTATGTGTCTTGTGGTAGACAATGTTATGCACATCTGACTGACATAAACACAGGAGAACTGGTGGATCACAAGGTATATGAGCATGCAGGTTTATCAGGTCCTGCCAACCTGTCCCTAAATGGCTATACTATTTTGCATGAAAGCTCTGGTTACTCTGCATGCTTGCTAAAATTTGATGTTATTATTTTTCAATTTTTTGAGACAGAGTCTCACCCTGTCACCCAGGCTAGAGTGCAATGGCTTGATCTCAGCTTACTGTAACCTCTGCCTCCTGGGTTCAAACGATTCCCCTGCGTCAGCCTCCTGAGTAGCTGGGATTACAGGCACCCGCCACCATGCCGAACTATTTTTTTTATTTTTAGTAGAGATGGGGTTTCACCCTGTTGGCCAGGCTGATCTCAAACTCCTGACCTTGTGATCTACCCGCCTCGGCCTCCCAAAGTGCTGGGATTAGTATTACAGGCATTTACAGGCATGAGGCTTCTCATGCCTGTAATCTCATGCTTCATATATATATATATATATATGAATGCTTCAGAGAGAGAGATATATATATATGAATGCTTCAGAGAGATATATATAAGAATATCATTTTAAATATTCAACTATATGAATGTAATAATTTGCAATCCACTAGATATTTAAGTTGTTCATAATTTCTCACTATTATAAACTACACTCTGATGCAATGTCCTTACAGTTAAATCTGTGTTTATATTCTTAATTATTTCCTTAAGATCTATTTCCAAAAATGGAATGTCTGAATATTGTTTTTACAGCTTGGTTCTGCTTTGTAGATGCAGTTCAGGGAGTTAGAATTTTTTTTATACTTATTTTTTTCCTTTTCTCTTTCCTACATCCTAAATATTGATGCTTAAAGAGCTACCAAGCTTACTAATGTTAAAGGGAGGATGAATAAATTTCTAATTAAAATACAATTTCAATTTTAAATATATGAGACACAAAGATGCACTGAAAACAGCAAAAAAGCAACACAGCAATAATGAAGGTCAAAAATTAATTCAGTATCATGAAACAGAGTCCCAAACCACAGAAGCTGATCGTTTTCGAAATGTAATTACCATTATCATCACCACCACTACACAGAACTAGTCACCAACAGTAAATTCTACAGATTCTTACCTTCAGAAATGCTGGAGTCATGGAACATGGTTTCAAAAGCTTGGTGTGTTTCAGCAAAAGAGGGCCTATCAGCAGGGCTCCACTTCCAGCCTACGTAACGGATGAAGAAAATATTAAAAACTCCTTGCAGAAATTCAATATCCAGTGGTATGTCTAATAATGAGTTCCATGCCTCATCATGTGTACTTACTTATTAGACACACGTCACAGCATGTTCACAATGATAGCAACATAATCACTTCTCAGCTCTAGATTCAGAGGTATAACGAACCCCCCACCCCTTTTTTTTTTTTTTTGAGATGGAGTTTTGCTTTTGAACTCCAGGCTAGAGTGCATTGGAGATCTTGGCTTACTGCAACCTCCGCCTCCTGGCTTCAAGCAATTCTCCTTCCTCAGCCTCCCGAGCAGCTGGGACTACAGGCATGTGCCACAACACCTGGCTAATTTTCTGAATTTTCTCCATGTTGGTCAGGCTGGTCTTGAACTCCCAACCTCAGGTGATCCACCTGCCTTGGCCTCCCAAAGTGCTGGGATTACAGGCTGAGCCACCGTGCCCGGCCAACGAACCCACTTTCTGAATTCCTTTTTTTTTTTTCTTTGAGACAGGGTCTTGCTCTGTCACTCAGGCTGGAGCACAGTGGCACGATCTCGGCTCACTTCATATGCTTATTGGACATCTGGATATCCTCGTTTATGAAGTTAAAGTTAACCTTTAACTCCTTTCCATGTCGATATATCCAAGAAGGCCAGGCATGGTGGCTCACATCTATAATCCCAGAACTTTGGGAGGCCTAGGTTGACAAATCACATAAGGCCAGGAGTCTGAGACTAGCCTGGTCAACATGGCGAAACCCCATCTCTACTAAAAATACAAAAATTAGCTGGGTGTGGTGGTGGGTGCCTGAAATCCCAGCTACTCAGGAGACAAGCACAAGAATCACTTGAATATGGGAGGTGGAGATTGCAGTGAGCCAAGATTGCACCACTGCACTCCAGCATGGACCTCCTCAGTTCAAGCAATCCTCCTGCCTCAGCTCCCCAAGTTGCTGGGACTATGGGTGTGCAACACCACACCCAGCTAATATTTGTATTTTTATAGACAGGATTTTGCCACATTGCTCAGGTAACTTTTGAACTCTTGAGCTCAAGCAATTGCCCACTTTGGCTTCCCACACTGCTAGAATTACAAGTGTGAGCACCACACCTGGCCATGAACCCACTTTCTAAGGCTGGTGCTTCTATTCAGCCTCAGCTCCTATTCCTTCTACTAAAGGATGAGGACAGACGGGAAGATGGTTTAGAAAATGGCAAGTTTTCTTCCATTTGAAAATGGAAAAAGTAAACCCTGTCTTCAAACTCAGCCTGACCATATAATCAACTGTACATACTCAGTAATATAAATGGATATCAAAAAGGAGGCGCTCAGAGTTCACTTTTGACAAAGTACAACAGAGAACGTCAATGTTCAGTGAGAAAAGAACACAGACTTATGTTCAGACACAACTGCAATTCAGGCCAGGCACGGTGGCTCACGCCTGTAATCCCAGCAGTTTGGGAGACCGAGGCAGATAGATCACTTGAGGTCAGGAGTTCAAGACCAGCCCGGTCAACATGGTGAAACCCTGTCTCTACTAAAAATACAGAGATTAAGCTAGGTGCGGTGGCTCACGCCTATAATCCCAGCACTTTGGGAGGCTAAGGTGGGTGAATTACTTGAGGTCAGGAGTTTGAGACCAGCCTGGACAACATGGTGAAACCCCATCTCTACCAAAAATATAAAAATTAGCCATGTGTGGTGGCAGGCACGTGTAATCTAAGCTACTTGGGAGGCTTCGGCAGGAGAATTGCTTGAACCTAGAGGGTGGAGGTTGCAGAGACTGCGACACTGCACTCCCTCCAGTTGGGTGACAACGACAACAATTAGCTGGCATGGTGGAGTGTGGCTGTGGTTCCAGCTACTCAGGGGCTGAGGCTTTAACCCAGGAGGTGGAGGTTGCAGTGAGTCAAAAATCACATCACTGTACCTCGTCCCCCCCCCCAGCAACAAAGCAAGATTCTGTTTCAAAAACAACAAAAAACAAAGCAAACAAAAACAACAACTGCAATTTAATTCACTACTCACTTCCCTACTTTTTTATCTGTAAGCAATCAGGTGCTTCTGTTTATCCAACACAGAGGTATTTGCAGCATTCTTCATAGTCTTTAGCAATCACTTTTATCTAGTTGAAAGCAGCCCTCCCCATCTTAAGCTCTAAACTCAATCTCTTATCTTATTAAATATGCAAATGTCTCTGAGAAACTGGGCCAATATTTGGGCCATAATAAAAACTATTCTTGGGATTCCAGAAAGACTCAATGCTATATGATATGATAACTGGCTGATCAATGATAAACTCTTTAAATGTCATAAGGCTGGATTCGGTCAAACAGCACTGAGAGGAGAAAAGTCTCTAATTTTGTTAACTATTCTGAACTGCTAGCTTATGCTTTCAAAATTAAAGTGTGCAAAAATACTCACATGCTCTCATAAGTTCATAAACTTTCGGGGGGGCATCCCTCAGGCTGTTCCATTCGATATCCTTTTTCCAGTAGGTCATAGACCTGAGACAGGTCAATACCTGGATACGGTGACATTCCATAGGTAGCAATTTCCCACAACAGTACCCCAAAAGCTGCATAAGGAATTTAAAAAAGCACTTAGTGTTTCTCCTCTGATTATTTATTTTACATAATTAGGTAATTCTCTTTCCAATTTTAGATAACATTCACACCCTGTTACAACAACATTAACACAGAATATACTCTTATCAACTCTTACAGCATGGCTTGTCCTTCTAAAATATTTGCCACAGGCATATAATCTCAAAACAGTTTTATTTAAATTCCCCAATTTTTATTTAGATTTCCTTTAATACAGTGGGTGAAAATAAACTATGACCATGTAAGAAGTTGGGGCGTAATCCAACTATTTTTAGAAAAGTCTTTGATATACAGTAGTCACCCCTTATCCATGGTTTCATTTTCCATAGTTTGTTACTCACAGTCAACCAAGGTCGAAAAATAGTCAATAGAAAATTCCAAAAATAAACAATCTGAAAGTTTTAAACTGCATGCTGCTCTGAGTAGCACGATGAAATCTCAAGCCACGCTTTTCCATATCCACACCATAGATGCTACCCACCCCATAGCGACTGAGAAGACCTCTCAGTTATCAGATCAAAAAAAGATGATATATCCAGAGCTTGACGCTATCCTTGGTTTCAGGCATCCAAGCGGGGGGGTCTTAGAACATATTCTCCGAGGATAAAGGGGAACCGCTGTATTTAATAACAGTTTTAAACTCAGCTAAAATAAAAAGATTGATTTAAAATCAGATAAAATTCAGAGCAGAAAAAAATTTGATTTTGTCACAGTTATTTCAGTTTGAGATTTCCAGTAAAAAGTGACTTACAATCCCATGACTATTTCTATTGGCCCATAATCCAAATTTCCAGATCGTTCAGTCTACTAAGCTTCTACCACGTCATATTGCTTCTCAGAAACAAGATCAGTAAGGACAAATTCTAGATGAAACCTCCTCACACTTCCCTTGAAAAGAAAGCTCTGTGACACAGTACTTTGCAAATGTGTAATAAAACCTAACGTGAGTCTAGGTGCAGAGGCTCACTCCTGTAATTCCAACACTTTGGGAAGCTGAGACAGGTGGATCATCTGAGGTCAGGAGTTCGAGACCAGCCTGGCCAACATGGTGAAACTTCGTCTCTACTATAATGACAAAAATTAGCCAGGCATGGTGGTGCATGCCTGTAGTCCCTGCTTCTTGGGAGGCTGAGGAAGAAGAATTGCTTGAACCTGGGGATGAAGGTTGCAGTGAGCTGCGATTGTGCCACTGCACTCCAGCTTAGACAACAGAGCAAGAAAAGAAAAAAAAAAAAAAACTAATATGGAAATACGGTGCTATACAGAGAGAGGATCATCAGCACTCCAGTGCAATATGAAATCTAGACTGTGAGCGCTCTTGAAGGAATGGACTTCTTTTTTTTTAAACTTTCTTCTTTATACTTATTTTTTTTTTTTTTTTTTTTTTGAGACAGAGTCTTGCTCTATTGGCCAGGCTGCAGTGCAGTGGTACCATCTTGGCTCACTGTAACCTCCACCTCCCAGGCTCAAGCAATTCTCCTGCTTCAGCCTTCAGCCTCCCGAGTAGCCGGAATTACAGGCGCGCACCACCACGTCTGGCTAATTTTTGTAGTTAGCAGAGATGGAGTTTCACCATGTTGTCCAGGCTGGTCTCAAACTCCTGACCTGAGACGGGGTTTCACCATGTTGACCAGGCTGGTCTCAAACTCCCGACCTCAAGTGATCTGCCCACCTCAGCCCAAAGCGCTGAAATTACAGGCGTAAGCCACCACGTCAGGCCTATACTTCTGTTGATGTGAAGTTCTTAGCACAATCCTGGCAGACAGGAGGTACTTAACAAACGCTTGCCGAATAAATGAAGAAGAATGGCAGGTAAAGGTAGAGGATACTGAACATCATAAAAAAGAGAAGCTCTAAAGAATCAAGGGCATTTATTAAAAAAATAAAATGATACAGAAAAAAGTCCCTTTCAACCTTACCCCAGACATCAGATTTAATTGAGAAGGTATTGTAGGCAAGACTCTCTGGTGCTGTCCACTTAATAGGAAATTTGGCTCCAGCATGAGCAGTGTAAGTGTCTCCAGTCATCAATCTACTTAAACCAAAGTCAGCCACTTTTACCACATGGTTTTCTCCCACTAGGCAGTTACGAGCTGCAAGATCTCTGTGGGAAAGAGAACCCTATATGTGATTCCATTCAGACAGTGAGGAAAATGGTCATCAACACTCTACTCTTGGTTCTTTGTGTTATAGGCAGAGTTAACTAAGTGCTGACAAATATGGTAGTATTTTTTGATAATCACTAACATCTTAGAAAGCCACTGATGATATGTCACTATAGAATATTCATCAAGAAGCAGAATAAAGTAGGCTTTATAATATGGGTCCCTATTTATAAATACATTGGGATAGGTGAGCAATAGATGCTTTTCTATAAGACTTTCAGTTATTTACAAAAGCAGAAAACTATTTTAAAAATTCAGCCTCTAGGCCAGGTGTGGCAGCTCACGCCTGTAATCCTAGCACTTTGGGAGTCCATGGTGGGTGTATCTCCTGAGCTCAAGAGTTCAAGACCAGCCCAGGCAACAAGGCAAACCCTGTCTCTACAAAAAACAAACAAAAAACATTTAGCCAACAGGGTGGCACACTCCTGTAGTCCCAGCTACTCAGGAGACTGAGGAGGGAGGATAGCTTGACCCCAGGAGGCAGAAGGTGTAGTAAACTAAGATTGAATCACTGCATTCCAGCCTGGGCGACTGAGCCAGACTGTCTCAAGAAGTTAAAAAAGAAAAAAACACTAGATGGTGAAAAAGGATCTTGGCTATAGTGCTGGGCAAAATAAGAGAGCTCTCTGGCTGGGCATGGTGGCTCATACCTGTAACCCCAGCACTTTGGGAGGTCAAGATGGGAGGATCACTTGAGGCCAGGAGTTTGAGACTAGCCAGGTCAACACAACAAGACCCCATCACTACTGTAATTTTGTTTTTTTAATTTGTTTTTTATTTTTTGAGAGAGAGTCTTCGTCTGTCTCCAGCCCAGGCTGGAGTGCAATGGCGCTATCTTGGCTCACTGCAACCTCTGCCTTTGGGGTTCAAGCAATTCTCCTGCCCCAGCTTCCTGAGTAGCTGGGATTACAGGCACATGCCACTATGCCCAGTTAATTTTTTGTATTTTTAGTAGAGGCAGAGTTGCGCGATGTTGGTCAGGGTGGTCTCAAACTCCTGACCTTGTGATTTGCCCACCTCAGCCTCCCGAAGAGCTGGGATTACAGGCATGAGCGACCACGCCCAGCCAATTTTGTTTTTTTTTTAAATAAAGTTCTCAGTTTTGAGACTAGCAAAGGCCCCTTATTAATACTTTAATCAGGGTATAGTAGGTTTACAAGTTAGAAGTGATGTAATAATGGGCACTGTGAAACACAGAATTACTTTCTTGAATCATCTGAAATTTTCTGGGAAGGTTCCCATATTCTTCCTTTTAACTGCATGTAAAGCAGGATGGCTTCATGGTTAGTCACAGGCAAGTTTTACAAACCTATGGATGAAATTCTTCTTCTCTAAGTACTCCATTGCAGAAGAAATCTGAGTGGCCATGTAGAGCAGCACAACTGCAGTCACCTCTTCTCGGTTGCATTCTCGGAGATAATCCAGCAAATTCCCATATGGCATGTATTCAGTCACAATGTAAAATGGTGGCTCCAAAGTACACACACCTAAAAGTTGAAGAATAGTGCTTGTTTTATTAATATACATTCAAACACTCCAAACCACTTTGGTCCTGAATAATTTGACAATTTTTCAGGTGTAGTTTAGGGCAGTCTTTCCCTTCTTACCACCACATTCTCTGAAATTAATATAGCAAAAATTAAGTAGCTGGTTCAAAGGGGACTCCTTGCCTCCAGTCCTAGCTCTCTGGGAATTCATATGCATCTGAGTATGTGTCTATTTGAGCGAAAGCAGTGTTACTTGTATTAATTCTGTAAAGAGCCAAGAAAACCAACATTTCTAGAGTTCTGCTCATGGCCTGTGATTCTCCTCCTCAACTGCAGGCTAACCATACTTATTCAAAAGTAATAGCAATTGTGCACATGCTGAAGATTATGTGAGCCCCACCTGTAATACTGCTTTGTAAAAAGATTTTCATTGCTTGTATCGTCAAGAATTTCACTGATATACGGCAGATTCCTTATTAAAAAAAAAAAACCAACAAGAGGCCAGGTGCAGTGGCTCACGCCTGTAATCCCAGCACTTTGGGAGGCCGAGGTGGGCAGTTCACAAGGTAAGGAGACCCAGACCATCCTGGCCAACATGGTGAAACCCCATCTCTACTAAAACACAAAAAATTAGCCAGGTGTGGTGGTGCACACCTGTGCTCCCAGCTACTTGTGAGTCTGAGACAGGGGAATTGCTTGAACCTGGGAGGTGGAGGTTGCAGTGAGCCGAGATTCCGCCACTGTACTCCAGCCTGGGGACAGAGCAAGACTCCATCTCAAAACAACAACAACTACCCCCCACAAACAAAAGCAGAAACAAAAACCTGGCCCTATTTTTAAAAAGTAAAGAGGCTTAGTGAAAGACTTCTTTGTGGCCTGAGTGGTGAATTTGCTTATTATCAACAGTCCTTTGTTTAATGCCTCTTTATTTTGCAAAAACATTTCATGAGGTTTTGGTTCAGTACCATTTGAACACTTCTGAACTTTGAATCTGGGGCAATTACTACAAACTGAACAGGTGTGTGTGTGTGTGTCTGTGTGTGTACCGTGTGTGTGTGTGTGTGTGTGTGTATTTCAAACTGAGCAGTTTTATATACAAAAATCAATCCAGGCCACTGTTTCTTGAGCAGTTTTTAAACAGGGAAGCTACTGATTAAAATGACTTTTTTTTTTTTTTTTTTTTTTGAGGTGGAGTTTCGCTCTTGTTGCCCAGGCTGGAGTGTCACGGCGTGATCTCGGCTCACTGCAACCTCTACCTCCCGGGTTCAAGCGATTCTTCCATCTCAGCCTCCCAAGTAACTGGGATTACAGGCACAGGCCACCACGTCCAGCTAATTTTTGTATTTTTAGTGCAGGCGAGGATTCATCGTATTGGTCAGGCTTGTCTCCAACTCCTGACGTCAGGTGATTCACCTGCCTCAGCCTCCCAAAGTGCTGGGATTACAGGCATGAGACACCTTGCTGGCCAAAATTATAACTACTTATTGAAATGGATTCAAACCTGCAGTTTCTACCATGGTGATTCAAAAGAAGGGTTTGGGGGGGTGGGGAAAAGGCCCAGTATGGTAACCCCAACAAATTGAAAGGCCCAGGCGGGAGGATTACTTCAACACCAGCCTGGGCAACAGAGTGAGAACCTGTCTCTATTTTTAAAAAGGAAAAAAAAAAAAAAAAAAAAAAAAAAAGGATTTGGAGATAGCAAGTGGTTAAAGGGCAAGTACTTTTGGAGAAAATCTATGGTCCGGGCAAGGTTCCGCACCTAAAAGTTGTACCAGATTAGGATGCTTGATTTCCTTCATCACTGCGGCTTCTTTTAGGAACTCTTCTACCTCCATGGTATCTTCCTGGAAAAAGGGAAAGGTAAGAAAGAAGAAAACGAGAGGGACAAACCCCCAACTTAATCACAATCCTAAAACTTCAGCTTTAAAAGTTAAAAGAAGTATCTTCTGAATATTTTAAGAAATAATTAATTTAATAATTTGGTTTTTTTGAGACGGAGTCTCACTCTGTTACCCAAGTTGGAGAGAAATGATGCAATCTCACTGCAACCACTGCCTCCTGGGTTCAAGCGATTCTCCTGCCTCAGCCTCCTGAGTATCTGGGATTACAGGGGTGCGCCTCCACACCCAGCTACTTTTTGTATTTTTAGCAGAGATGGATGTTGCCACGTTGACCAGGCTTGTTACTTGACCTGGGGTGATCTGCCTGCCTTAGCCTCCCAAAGTGCTGGGATTATACTCATGGGGTGAGCCACCATGCCCAGCTAAATAATTATTATTTTAAGAAGTCCAACTTAGAAAAATATTCTGGAGTAAAAATTAGCAGGAGGAGCAAAATTCAGCAATCATGTCCTACAATCAAATGAAACTCTCCTGCATTGGAGAGTTCAGTTCTCTCATAGTTTACTTCCCCAGACAGCTCAGGCTTTGAATGAGGAGACAGAGCACTTAGCTGCTTACATACTTGTCTTCTTCATTATATCATAATATTCTTAGAGAGCAAGGCCTTATAAATTGCTTCACACTCAGAATATGCTTAAGAAACAGGACTACTACTTACAGCTAAAGAATAGCCCTTATAAGTGATATACCAGAGACAGTTACTGAGGCTCTGGGAGAATCAAGTGAGTGAAAACCTTATAATTTGATACTGGGATGTTTAAAGAAGACATACAGTAGTATCAGGAAAAAGATTTTGGTGAATATTAAGAAGTGATCTAACTGCAAAGAGGCAGGAAGAACAAGAAGCAGGGAGAAAAAGGACAGAACAAGAAAGAGGCCATGATTCTCAGAGAGGGCACAAAGAATTCTGTCCAGCAGGGGTCGTTCTCAGGAAGCAAAAGAGCTTATTTTGCTTTTATAACTTAATTTGCTTCTAACCTCCCACTAAGATCTACACCAACAGCCTCCAGAGACAAACCTTTCCCACATGTAGGTTTCACTGCATTGCAGTGAATAATCTGCCTCTGCATTGTCAGCAGTGGCACGAGGGTTAATCATCACAATTTGCTGATGTGCTTGGCACCAGTGGGTGGAAAGTATTCCAAAGTTAAAGAAGAGCATGCTGATATTTCCAAGTGATTGAGTGCAAAAGAAAAAGATGCCTGAAAACTGTAATTCTCAGCAACCCACCTTCAATGTTTTCACAGCAACTGTAAGGCTGTATTTCTTCCAGACGCCAACGTAAACCTCTCCATACTGACCGCCCCCAAGTTTGTGCTTCATGGTAATATCTGTTCGTTCCATTTCCCATTTGTCATGGATGGGGGACACACCGTAGACTGTAGGCTTATTGCACTTGGGTGCTGGGTAGTGTAATGTTGTCACCAGCCCGTCAGCCACCGTGGAGTGATGGTGTACAAGCTCTGCCAAGGTGCTGAAGCGGCTCTCAGCAGTCACATATACCTGGTAAGAAAAAGAGAAAAGCTGAACCACTTGAAAAAAGATTAAGAATTTTTTTTTAAAGCCCATATTTCACTGGCCTGAAGATATAGATACGAGACTATCCTCAAAAAAAAATTTTTTTTTTACAGACAGGGTCTCACTATATTGCCCAGGCTGGTTCTCAAATGCCTAGCCTCAAGCAAACCTCCCGCCTGGGCCTCCAAGGTGCCGAGATTACAGATTGGGCCACCACACCCAGCAAGAGGTTATCTTAATTGAGGTAAATAAAAAAGTATAGCCGGGCGCGGTGGCTCAAGCCTGTAATCCCAGCACTGTGGGAGGCCGAGGCGGGTGGATCATGAGGTCAAGAGATCGAGACCATCCTGGTCAACATGGTGAAACCCCGTCTCTACTAAAAATACAAAAAATTAGCTGGGCATGGTGGTGCGTGCCTGTAATCCCAGCGACTCAGGAGGCTGGGGCAGGAGAATTGCCTGAACCCGGGAGGCGGAGGTTGCGGTGAGCTGAGATCGCGCCATTGCACCCCAGCCTGGGTAACAAGAGCG